CCTTTTTTCACTTTTTTTTTAATACAGTACACCTTTTTTCGATGCCGGATTCTTACTGACGGCACCCGGAAAGATAGCACGATGATAAGCGTGACTTTAGTAACGTTGCAGGTGGTATTTCCCGGTGCTTGGCCTTAGCACGAGAAAGTACGCCCTTCTATAGCAACGTTCTTGGTAAGAATAATCATTTTGGCGCCAAGACGGCCCTGGGATACCATGCAGTACCCCTCAGCATCTTGACCAATCACGGTTCAGCATTCCTGAGGCCGAAGCGCTTTGGCCAATGGCGTACCTGCCTCACGACGCTACCCCCCCTCTCTCACGAGGTGGACACGTGATGGGGGGGGGTAGTCTACAGCCGTTAACCCCCCCAAACCTCCCTTTTTACACTTGACGTGTACAAAAATTTCCCTGAAATCAACTCCCTCCTGTAATTTCCTTTACAGACCTGATACAGCAACAGCAATCAGAATGACATCAATGGCTAGCAAATGTCACGGGCTGTCCAACGACACCCAACACGACTGTGGAAAAGTTATATTCAGAAAGTTGAATCACGGTGCACATCACTGGTGCACTATGCATGTTCGTACTTCATCCAGTGCACGAGAGAGCAGGAAAAATCTCTCCTGACACACCCAAGTCCTACGCTCTCATCCAAGGCCTACGCCCTCACCCAAGGCCTACGCCCTCACTCGAGGCCTACGCCCTCACTCGAGGCCTACGCCCTCACTCGAGGCCTACGCCATCACTCGAGGCCTACAGCCTCACCCTGCTTGACCTGCTTGATGGGGTTCTGGGAGTTGTTCTACTCCCCAAGTCCGGCCCGAGGCCAGGCTCGACTTGTGAGAGTTTGGTCCACCAGGCTGTTGCTAGGAGCGGCCCGCAGGGCCACGTACCCATCACAGCCCGGCTGATCTGGAACTTCTCTTAGAAAACAGTCCAGTTTTCTCTTCAAGAAGTCCACTGTTGTTCCGGCAATATTTCTTATAGTCGCTGGGAGGACGTTGAACAACCACGGACCTCTGATGTTTATACAGTGCTCTCTGATTGTGCCTATGGCACCTCTGCTCCTCACTGGTTCAATCTTGCATTTTATTCCATATCGTTCACTCCAGTACGTTGTTATTTTACTGTGTAGATTTGGGACCTGGCCCTCCAGTATTTTCCATGTGTATATTATTTGGTATCTCTCACCCAAGGCCTATGCCCTCACCCAAGGCATATGCCCTCACCCAAGGCCTATGCCTTCATTCAAGGCCTACGCCCTCACACAATGCCTACGCCCTCACCCAAGGGCCTACGCCCCTCACCTAAGGCCTACGCCCTCACTAACAGCCTACGTCCTCACCCAAGGCCTACGCCCTCACCCAAGACCTACAACCTCACCCAAGGCTTATGCCCTCACCCAAGGCCTATGCCCTCACCCAAGGCCTATGCCCTCACCCAAGGCCTATGCCCTCACTCAAGGCCTACACCCTCATGTATTATAACACCTAGAATATAAATTAATAATGAAACACAAATATTGTAACGCTAATGGTTACACTGATATATATCCTGAGTAACTGTAACCAAAGGTACACTTATAAGGGAATGCTACACAGGATTAACTACGCTGCCACCATCTGCCTTGTCCATTGAGACTATATCAAGCAACGAGGCAAGAAACATTCTTTGACTTGGAGAGTACTTTCTATAACTGTCATTAATTATGAGATGGTTGTCAGCCCACTATATCCAAAAGGCTAAGAGGATTCAACAATTGACACAGACGGGAAGTTTAACATGAGTTTATTGAGAACCAAATTATGCTATTCACCACTATAAATCCTACTCTAACACTGGCCAATAGTTAAGAAATTTAGACATGAAAAACCTCAGAGATCACACTTTACCTTAAGACCTCTGTCTCTCCATCCAGTGGATTCACTCTGTCCCTCCCTGGCTGTTCGATGTTCTCACAGACCCACTCTAGACACTGGTGTCCAGCACTCTGTCTACTACGTCTGCTCCAGGACTAATATATACACCTCAAAAAGGGGGAGGGGGAGATTTTCTGTTGCTACCTACACCGAAAGAGGTCTGGCCACACATGAACAAATACTCAAGAATTTTTTCATTAAGCTGGTTTGACATTCCCCATACACTGTTCAAGAGAGGAATTATTAATTATGTGTGTGACTGACCTTTAACCTGGCTAAAAGGGGGAGATCCATGTATGTTTACACATAAGAATTTGGGGTCTAATTCCATTACAATGTTTGACAAGAGTATCATGAAACCCTGGCCTACACCCTCACCCCTGGCCTACACCCTCACCCATGACCTACACCATCACCCATGACCTACATCCTTACCCCTGGCCTACACCCTCACCCCTGGCCTACATCCTCACCCATGACCTACACCCTCACCCATGACCTACACCCTCACCCAAGGCCTACACCCTCACCCATGACCTACACCCTCACCCCTGGCCTACACCCTCACCCATGACCTACACCCTCACCCATGACCTACATCCTTACCCCTGGCCTACACCCTCACCCCTGGCCTACATCCTCACCCATGACCTACACCCTCACCCATGACCTACACCCTCACCCATGGCCTACACCCTCACCCCTGGCCTACACCCTCACCCATGACCTACACCCTCACCCATGACCTACATCCTTACCCCTGGCCTACATCCTCACCCCTGGCCTACACCCTCACCCATGACCTACACCCTCACCCATGACCTACATCCTTACCCCTGGCCTACACCCTCACCCCTGGCCTACATCCTCACCCCTGGCCTACACCCTCACCCCTGGCCTACACCCTCACCCCTGGCCTACACCCTCACCCATGACCTACACCCTCACCCATGACCTACATCCTCACCCATGACCTACACCCTCACCCATGGCCTACACCCTCACCCCTGGCCTACATCCTCACCCATGACCTACACCCTCACCCCTGGCCAACACCCTCACCCATGACCTACACCCTCACCCATGACCTACACCCTCACCCAAGGCCTACACCCTCACCCATGACCTACATCCTCACCCCTGACCTACACCCTCTCCCATGACTTACACCCTCACCCATGACCTACACCCTCACCCCTGGCCAACACCCTCACCCATGACCTACAACCTCACCCCTGGCCAACACCCTCACCCATGACCTACACCCTCACCCATGGCCTACACCCTCACCCATGGCCTACACCCTCACCCCTGGCCTACACCCTCACCCATGACCTACACCCTCACCCCTGGCCTACACCCTCACCCCTGGCCAACACCCTCACCCATGACCTACACCCTCACCCATGGCCTACACCCTCACCCATGGCCTACACCCTCACCCCTGGCCTACACCCTCACCCATGACCTACACCCTCACCCCTGGCCTACACCCTCACCCCTGGCCAACACCCTCACCCATGACCTACACCCTCACCCATGGCCTACACCCATGGCCTACACCCTCACCCCTGGCCTACACCCTCACCCATGACCTACACCCTCACCCCTGGCCTACACCCTCACCCCTGGCCTACACTCTCACCCATGACCTACACCCTCACCCATGGCCTACACCCTCACCCCTGGCCTACACCCTCACCCCTGGCCTACACCCTCACCCCTGGCCTACACCCTCACCCATGACCTACACCCTCACCCATGACCTACACCCTCACCCATGACCTACACCCTCACCCATGACCTACACCCTCACCCATGACCTACACCCTCACCCCTGACCTACACCCTCACCCCTGACCTACACCCTCACCCCTGGCCTACACCCTCACCCCTGGCCTACACCCTCACCCATGGCCTACACCCTCACCCATGACCTACACCCTCACCCATGACCTACACCCTCACCCATGACCTACACCCTCACCCATGACCTACACCCTCACCCATGACCTACACCCTCACCCCTGGCCTACACCCTCACCCATGACCTACACCCTCACCCATGACCTACACCCTCACCCATGACCTACACCCTCACCCATGACCTACACCCTCACCCATGACCTACACCCTCACCCAGGTAATACCAATCGTACTTCATCGTAGTTTTTGTGAATTATGACAATTATGAAGTTATTCAACACATATTTCCATATAAATAAATAGAAACAAGTGATAAACAATCAATGAAACATCCCAAGGAGAACACAGGAGTCGTGTTTCACGTGCCTTAGTGCCAGCAAATTCGGCATCGTGTGATGACAGATGCTGGACCACATTGTCACCACACAAAATTTCACAGCTCCACCACCAAGAAAAAGACACACACATTCATAGATTTTTTTGGTTTTGCTTACATTTTTTCATACAATTTTTTTTTTCGCATAGGTGAATATGACCATTTCTGGTGTAGAGCCTCCGGGGCTGACCCAGAATTTGACATTTCATTACATTCAACGCTGAGTTTTTGAATAGAGGTACGTTAAGTGTTAAATAAAAATTGTTTTTATCTAGCATGGATGATCTAAACAGCAACAATGTTTTGTTTGGGGTCTGGTCCATCTCACCAGAATTCTTGTCATCCAATTTTGGTTCTAAATTCATTCAGAATCTTAAAATATATTTCCATTGATGTACTTTGTTAGGTCTTCACTGAATTTTACTACTGCACTTCATCTGAATAATTATATTTTGACGAATATGTTTAAATACAATATTCAGAAGCTAATTCAAATCTTATAGTAAAGAATCACTCTAACTATGTGCTCTAATACAACTTAAATCATCGGGCCATCAGCCAAATCTTTGTCAACTTACCCAAGTACATAACATATGATTTAAAGCTCAATGCACAACATTGTTGTGCGATGGAGTGGTCACATCTCTATGCCTTAAGTACAGTACTGTGCTTAAAATGTTTACAAAATTTATATTTATCCTCTTATGAACTACAAAGCCAAACCATCCTGTTTAATTAGTTTCATAAACTGTGCACTAACAAAGCTGACTAACCGAATAGACTCTGAAGGTAATGTAAGTGAGGTACGCAACCACTAGCAATACTGTGATAGTGGCCAATCCAAGATGAAGGGACTCCCAAACGTAAGGCAGGGGGTTGTGTAGAAGGATGGCATGTTCCATGACATCAATAAGGAAAATTGTTGCCGTGTAGCCACTGATTACTTGCACCATTGCTGTCCTAACTTTTGGGCAGCGTTTAACAGGCTGGAAATAAAAACAGTAAATTAACACAAGTGCTGTCTTTGTAAGCATAATGAAAACAAGGAAAATGATCCTTGCAATAGGATAAATATCCTAACAATGATGCTCTCGACAACCAACAGGTGGTGACCCAGCTCACCTAACATCTAAGCTTGCCTACCACCTCACTCATAAGCTGCCCGATCAGAACCCCCAATCCCTAGGGAAGAAGGAATAGGGTGGGGGATGGGGAACTATTGAAGGATCGCCCAAAAATAATCTTTCATCGCATTTAATGCACGATTTCTGAACGTGCTCCCTCAGTAGCTCCCAAGCTTACTAACAATGGCATGATGCCAGACAATAACAACTTCTTCAAACAGGGAATGATCCATGGAAGAAGACTGCAGCAGAAAGGTACCAGGGTTGAGGAGCATCCACTGCTTGCCAAATCACAACATAAGCACAGTAAGGCTGCAGTAATGCTGAAAGACACCCCAGAACAGTGACAGGCAAACATGCAGGTGGTGGCTGCCAAAAATCTTGAGTGCAAAGAACTGCTGTAAACAAAACATTAAACAAAACCAAGGCTGAGCCACCATCCTCAACACTGGAAGAAGATGCAGTCCGAGAGGAGGACCGAACCCGAATGGAAGACATGCCCCCCCCCTCTCGGCTAACAATATCTAGAAAAAAGGAGCAACTCAATTCCCAGGAATTACCTAAGGCCCAGACCCTGGGAACTGCCATTGGCCCAGAACACCATAGCCTGAGAAGAAGGGACTTGGTCCCCAGGAGAAACAGAACACCATCCCAACAACAGGGACTGCCTGAGCACTCGGAGCATCAAGCTCAGATTGCAAAAGATGCAATGCCCACTGGACAGATGCATGCAGCCAATCCAGCTTGGGGCAAACAGTGACGGGGGGCAAGACACCAAGACTAGAGGAATACCAAGCTTCCAGGCTCACAACAAAGAAATACTACCACCACAACTAGACAAGCAAAACACTGGAGAAGACAAATATGGGGAGAACTAAACTCAAATCAGATAAAGAATGCACAACTGGGATACAGGTCCATGACTTAGAAATAACAAAGCACACAATCCTTGCAAATAAAGAAGCCAACATACACACCCACTCCCAGGCCAATGTCAGGAAATCAAATGCAAACCAACAGAGCCTGAGAATAGAAATGCAAAATGCAAAGGAAACCTCATGGTTGAGCAGAGAGATCAACGATAGGGACCCCCCCCCCTAAGCACATGTATTGAAATATGGTTTATCTCTATGATGCAAATGTTTTATTACTATCTAGTATCATCTTAGGAATATTGCATCCTCTGTTAAGTTTGTCAGTATTGTCTCTGCAACTGCTATTAAGCCCTGGGTAGTACAGCTCGGTTCATTCTCAACTCACAATCAGAAATTCCAGGTTCAAATCTGGTGGGACAATTTTTTGCCACATTTCCTATCACCTAAGGTTCTGTTCACCTAGTGGTAAATTGGTACCCAGGAGTTAGTCAGGTTGCTGTGGGATTGCATCTTTGAGAGAGTCAGTAGTTCGACCTTCGGGGAGGGACCTTGATATCCTAATGTTCGTTCTTCGGATGCGAAGATAACCATGACTTCAATATATCAGGTCAAAGGTCAGATGGCTGTCTGCCAGACGATGGAGGATGAGACCAATCTGTATCCAGAAGGCTCACCCACACATGGGACATTTGTGGGTGGATGCTACTGCAGAGGTGGAAGTTGCTCTAACTTTGCACGCTGCGCGTTTCCTCTGGAAACACACTGAATAGATGAACTGCCTCTGCAGTTCACTGCCTATGTAGTGAACTGCCGAATTCACTCTGCAGTTCATTAGAGCGATGAACTCTGATGAACGCAGTGGGGACAACAACAGGCAATCCGCAAGCCAGGGCGACCCTGGAATCTCATAACAAACCCAGTATGGAGACGAATATCCAAACCTGAAGGAAGACGGATCCATTATAGAGGCATATTCCAGGTCACGCAGGAGGAAAGACGTAATGGCTGCCCGCACCTCAGCAGGCGAGATGCAGGAGGCTGTAAACCTCCGGAAGGACAGAACCAAACGATCCGCAGGGAGACGGAATCGAACCCAAATTCAATTCGTACGCAGAGAGGATGGGGGGAGGGGGGGAAGGAAAACCCCATTCCTTGTTTAGTTAAACAAGTTAGGTGAGAAGGTGGTGGAAGTCAAGACTGTCAGTAGTTTCAAAGCGTTATATGACAAAGAGTGCTGGGAAGACGGGACACCACGAGCGTAGCTCTCAACTTGTAATTACACTTAGGTAATTACACCTCCCCGACCAAAACAAACTCCCACGGCGCATGCGCAGGGCACGCTGGCCAAACCACACAACCCGCTCTGCGGGAAGGCGCCAACTAGGACTACTGCACAAAAATTTTAGCCAAACAGAACGGAACCCTAGGGAACCGCGAATTAGAAAAAACAACCCATCACACGGGACAGGAGCCAAAAGAGTAAGTGGCGACAACATAACTGGCCAACGAAGCAAAGACAAAGAGCCCAATGGGAACCCAACCGGGCCACGAGTAGCCCAACTAGGCTACAAGGAGCCCAATCCGGCGACACGGACTAGGAGCCGACAGACGGTCCAATAACACAGGAAGTATTGAAAACCTACCCAAACCCTCGAGAACACAGAAGCAAACACCAGTCCCGAAGGCACAGAGAGGAACAGTCGCACCCGAGACCAAAAGTCACGTTGAACCCCAATAACAGGGAAGCATGACGAAGATACCCCGTCCCAAAAAATGGGGGAGCAATGGAGAAGAGCCCCACCTACAGGATGGAACCAACCAACTCAAGGTACAAGGAATCGAGCCCGGGGAGGAGCCGACGCTCAACAAACTCGTACGGCGTGGGGGGAGGAAAAACCCCACCCCGCATAACTGCAAGCCCCGCCTAGAGGTTAGAAAAAAAACCCACGGGGTCCTAAGGGGCCTCAGGCCCCCCAAGTCAGCCCCTCCCAAGCCCTGGGAACCCACACGACAGGCCCAGGGCCGAGCCGGTCCCCCAAAGTACTAGTAGTGGAAAGTACCCCATAGACCGGCCGTTTTCATTTTTTCCTGAGCCGGTCTATGGCGTAGGGGGGGGGTCTCGTATTTTTTCCTGGGCCGGTCTATGGCGTAGGGGGAGGTTTCGTATTTTTTCCTGGGCTGGTCTATGGCGTAGGGGGGTGGTTTCGTAATTTTTCCTGGGTCGGTCATTGGTGCAGGGGTATTTAAAAAAAAATTCCCTTTCGGTCAGGCAAATTCATGGGGATGTTTAGATTTTTCGTAGCATTTATCATCTTCGTCCTTTGAACATATATAATTTTCCTAAAAGGAGTAGTAAAAGGCACCCTCTTCGCCGCTGAAAATTTCGTTCAAGGGGATTAAAAGGCTGGCTTCTGGCGTACCCAAATTTCGTTACCCCAGTGACCCATGCACAGGCATCATCAATGATCAATGACATCATCAGCTAGCCAGTCTTCAACAATGCATACTGTTGCATGCAAACAGCTACTAGGAGCCACAGGTGAGAGTTGAGTGCAGGTGGGGACCAAGACAAACCACCCAAAGGTGCGATTGTTGCCTGTCAGATGTACTACCCTCACTAACATCCCATACACTCCCAACATTAATATACTGTAACCACGCGATTATCCGGGATTCGAACATCCGGAAAACGCCCTTATACGGCCAAAATCGTGAACGGATAAAGTTATCTCAATATCCGGCCAAAATGGCCATGAGAGCCGGATAAAAGCTGGTTTAGCCGGAGAAAAATTCGGACGTACCGTATTAATCCTGTCTGCCTGTGGCTCTAGACGCATGGTGGAGGAGGGGGTGAGGTGGGTGGGTGGTGTCGGGAAGGTGGGAGGGGAGCGTCAGGAGGGACCACCTGGGTACAGGAATTACCATTAATTTTAGAACAATTAATCATAGCCAAAAACAAATGAAATAAGTACTAGTAATTATGTAATAACAAATAAATAAGTTTCCTAAAAGCAATGTGCACAGGCTGAAGTTTCCTTAAAAAATATTTTGAGTTTTTTCCTTCAGGCGGCCTACGTAACGTGCTATAGCTGCCCCAAGTGGACCCGTCCAACACTGGTCAACCCATATGCTCCCGTCCCTCGTGTTATACACAGTGCTGCGCCATTAGTGAAATATTTTTTTAAATAACTTTTTTATTTTCATAGTAACTTTGAACATTTTTGGCCAAGACTATGTCTGGTAGCAGCATCAATCGTTCTAGAGGTGTTAAGAGGAAGAAGGTTGTCCTAGCAATTGAAGACAAGTTACGTGTTGTTCAAAAAGCGAGGCGTCACAGGCAGCCAAATGCCTTCAACAAGTGAGGCCCCACAGGCAAGCCAAGCACCTTCAACAAGTGAGGCGCAAGCAAGTGCCTTCAACAAGTGAGGCGCAAGCAAGTGCCTTCAACAAGTGAGGCGCAAGCAAGTGCCTTCAACAAGTGAGGCATCACAGGCAAGCCAAATGCCTTCAACAAGTGAGGCTTCACAGGCAAGCCAAGCACCTTCAACAAGTGAGGCGCAAGCAAGCACCTTTAACAAGTAAGGCGTCACAGGCAAGCCAAGCGCCTTCAACAAGTGAGGCCTCACAGGCAACCCAAATGCCTTCAATCAGTGAGGCTTCAGCAGCTGGCAGTCAAAACTAACTTTGCTTAATGAACTGTACAGTAATTTTAAGTGTTAATTTTAGTGTTGTGTTAGTATAGGTTACTTAAATTGTTAAGAATTCTTAACTTCAAGATGTGTGGCATCAATCAAGAAGACAAACACCAACAAGGTAAGTTGAGGTTTCTAGTTGAATATTAAATAATTATATGTGGCAAGGCAATTCAAATTATTTTGTTTGTAGTATAAAAATAGTTGGAAATGGTCACTTTTGGACTCGTAGGTGAAAAAGTACCATTATCCGGAACATGTGATAATTCGGCTGGGGGTCCTTCCCATATAGTCC